TTGATTGGAGGCAGAGAGCAGTAGGAGTGGCCTGGCTTTGAACAGTGGCGATGGAGTAGGGAGATGAGGCCAAGGTCAGTAGGTGGTGGAGTAGACAGGACTTGCTAACTAAGTGTTGGGTTGAAGAATTGGGGTAAGATGGATTTTCACATGGACCATGAGGAATCATGACACTTAAGGCTCTGGGGGTGAAGAAAGGACCATGAGCAAAAGCCACCATCTCCAGTAGGTAATGGGCGTGGAGCATGGCTGCCCAGGGAGGTATGGGGGAACAAAGGCACTGGATACCTCCTCTTCCTACTTTAAATCTTGGAAATAATTGTGAGTGTGACAGCCCTCTGGAATGCAGACAGCAGTAGGGTGGGTCAGCATTGGTGGCTCCAGCCAGCATCGAGAGCCAGGTTACTGAGCTTTCTATGGGTATTTTCAGTCACTAACATGAGATTTGGGAGGCAGTGTAGGTACAGAAAATGCTAGAAGCTGGTGGTTTGCAGGAACCTGAGTGAGGGAACCTGGTTGTTATACTCAGATGGCTTCTTAGGTAAGATTGTGCCATTCCAACGTTTTTGGTTAGAAGTCTCTGTACACTTAGAGTAGAGGGTTAGCTGGCCCATTTCCTTACATTCTACCATGCAGTTTTAGAAATAAAACTTTATTGACAATGTTCCAACGAGTATATGGGCAACCCAATTTGGACTTGGTGTAATTTTTATGGGGGGTGGGGGTGGTACAAGGGTGAGAGGGTGGACCTGGGAGGAATAGGAATCGAGTGTGATCAGGTACATTGTATGGCATTCCCAAATAATAAAAATATTATGTTGGGGAAGAATAAAGTCAAAGAACAAAGTAAATGTGTGTAATAAGCAGATGGTGGGTTTTTTTTTTTTTCAGGAGTTTACTTCTTCTTTTTTTTTTTTTTTTTTTTGGTTTTTTCGAGACAGGGTTTCTCTGTGTAGCTTTGCGCCTTTCCTGGAATTCGCTTTGGAGACGAGGCTGGCCTCGAACTCACAGAAATCCACCTGCCTCTGCCTCCCGAGTGCTGGGATTAAAGGCGTGCGCCACCACCGCCTGGCAGGAGTTTACTTCTTAAGGGTAAATATAAGAGCAGAATAACAAGATGTCACATAGACTGATGCCAGCTCTGCCTTTCCCAGGCTTCACTGCTCGTCAGAGTCATGCACAGGCTGCTGAGTCAACAGTGCCCCATTCCATGGGTCTGAAATAGTGCTCCACACTCCTCATTTCACATTCCTCAGGGCTTCCTGTGCTTCTGGTTTCCAGGCACATTTTCAATGGCTTGAGTTGGGCCGTGGGGTGGGTGTTGGGGTGTTCTTGTCTTTTGGGGAGATAAGTTCTTTGAGATAAGCTCTGGACTCCAGAAGATCAAAGCTGTGCATGTTCCCTGTGCCCCTCTCACTGCCACTCCCCAGCTAGGGTAATCTCTGGTAGCTCTGAAGTCTTAGCTCGGTGCTCTCCATCAGTGGTTAGATTTGAGAAATGTGGTTAGAAAGGTGCTTATTTTATGTTTCAGTCTTTCAGTGGCACCTGTTAGTGCTCTTGTGGGATAGGTTCTAGGTGTTTATTCACAACTGAGAAGTACTGCTGAGATGCTTAATGAGTTAGAAGTGATCATGTAGAGGAACTTGTACAGTTTAGCTGCTTCAGAGGATCTGAGACGGGGATCCAGGAATGCTGGGCTTGAGGCAGGGGTGGTAGTCAGAGTATGAAAAACACTTTTAAAAGGCAAGGGCTGGAAAGTAGTGTGAAGCTGCTGCACTATATCTGATATTCCCAGAGAGCATATCGTTTTGTTCACCTGAGGAATGTATTGGTAGTAGTTGTTTTAAAACTCAAAATTCAGGCATGGAGGGTTATTGAGTGAGAAAGAGCCACTGTGGAATTGGCAGGTACCGAGATGGTGTAGTCTGCAGTGCAGATACATGTAGCCTGAATAGCCCTTGCTGGGCTGGGTATGCTCTTCATGGTCAAATGCTCAGAAAGTGTGATTTGAGGAGCCATTTGTTTTAGGGTCATATGAACATGGAGTGGCCTAAGGTAAGTTCCAAGACCTGGTGGCGTGCAATGGAAGTCTTCTTAAGACTGGCTTGGAAATGCCAGACCTGGTTCTGGGAATCCACTACAGACCTGATAGTGTTTACTGCAACATAATTTTTGGGGTTATTGTTCATGGATATTCTTTAATCCAGAGATGGCCATGAGGTTATCCTCAGCTAGTTCTCTACCATCAGATTAATGTAAATCCTAGACAATTTACTTATAATTATTTCAGTGTGTGTTATTTTCAAGGGTAAGATATTTTAAAGTCACTATGGTACTTTTATCACACCTAAAACACTAGTTATAATCCCTTAATATCAAAGTCTACTCATTGTCAGTATTTCTTTACATATGTTGTTGTTGTTGTTGTTGTGTGTACATGTATGCATGTATGCATGTATGCATGTATGTGTGGAGACCAGAAGTTGACACCAGGTATCTTCCTCAGTTACTCCTTATGTTTTAAGACAGCTCTCTTATTGAGCCCTAAACTCACTGATTCCACCAGACTGGCCAGTGAGTCCAAGGATCCTCCTGTTTTCTCCTCTCAGTCCTGGGATTACAGGAATGCTCTGTCTACCCAGCCTTTTACACGAGTGCCAGGATCTGAACCAAGGCCTTTCATGCTCGTGCAGCAAGCACTTTGAGCTGTCTCCTAGATCCAGTGTGTCACAACTTTTAGCAATTTTTTTTTTCTGTGTAGAGTGAGGTCCAAGTGGCTAACACATCTTTAATATATGTTTTTAATATATGGGTTTCCTTCCTTCTGCTCTTCATTATCCATTACTGTTACAAGAGAGCAGTATCATCAGGTTTAACCTACAACAAGGGGAGGGGAGCCCAGAGGTGTGAGCACTGGGGAGCATCCCCAGTTGTTTGGGGACTTGCCTTCCCACAGTCCTTGCGATCTTAGTGGACCTGCTTTCTTGAGTGGGAAGGGTTAGGTATTAATTTCTTTAAGAAGCCTTGAGTTCTCTTAGTGGCAAATGGTGTTCAGAGGATCTTCACTGACCATATGGTTCTAGATCTTCTCAGTAGACAGAACTAGGGTGTTGTGTATCCCTTATCTGAAATGTTTGGGAACTAGATGGGTTTCAGAATTCAGATTGTTTCAGACATTGGGATGTTAGCATCCACAGAGTGAAATAGCTTGTGGCTTGGACCTGAGACTAATCAAGAGGATTCACTTAAAGGTAGTTTTGTATACTATTTTCATGTGCCTGTGCTTTCACTGTGGCCTATCACTCGAGGACAAGTGTGAAATTGCAACTTGTGGCATCATGTCAGGGTTCATGAAGCTTTCTAGTTTGGAGCATTTTGGATTTTAGATTTTCAAATTAGGAATATGCAACCTGTGTTTTTCCTTCCTCTCCCTTCCCATCTCCCTTCCCCTTCTTTCTTTAAATTTTGATAAAGTTCATGCTATTATTTCCCATTCAGAATCCATACCTCATCTGTCCTGTGTTTGTGTCTATTTTTAATCTACTAGGTCTACTGGTAGTAGCTCTCCATGATACCAGCATAAGTATTCATGAATTTTCTCACAGTACACAAATAAAAATCTCAGGATGACCACCAAAGATAACTGATTCTGTCACATTGCATAGTTAAACTCCTCCATACCTTATGGAAATGTTCTTCCACTGTGTGGTACAAAGTTTGATTCATTATTTTCAATTGCTTTTGAATTTTAGGTTGTTTAAGCAAATTTATTTTTGCATACATTAATATTCAGAGAAATCCAGCACTTGTTTTTGCCATTTTTTTCCATTTTCTTCTTTCTCCATATGTAGCCATTTGAAAAAGACTAAGATTACCCTTTTGTTTTCTACATATAAGCAGTATCATGCATATATACATTCTCTTTGGACTTGGGATGGGATTTTGTCTCTAAAGTTGTTATAAGTTAAGAATTTAATAAATCAAATGCTCTGGGTGCATTTAACCTACAGAGCCTTCCAGTTTATTAACACAGTACAATGTGCAGAGTACACCATAGGGTATGTGCTGCTCCCCTCGTGAGTTCGTGGCCAGCTGGCATCCAAATCTTGCTGCTGCTGTCTGGTATCACTAGAGAGAACTGGATTGTGTATCACTAGCCTAGGAAATGATAAAAATTCAGAATTCAAGTTAGGATTAATACTGAATGTGTATTACTTTATCTCCAGAGTATGAAGTCCTAAGACAGACCGTGAAAGGGGAGGATTGCCTGCGTGCTTTTCTCTGCCTTGCAGTCTACTTAAATCACGTGTCCTGGTGACCAGCTGTAATGTTGTACAGAGATGCTTGTCAGTCCTTTTAGATTGGCATAGCGTTGTTTTGTATGGATAAACAATGTTTTTCTCTTGTTGAGGCAATGATCTCTCTATGTAGCCCAGGCTGGCCTTGAATTCATGGTCTTCCTGCCTCAGCCTCCCAAGTGCTGGGATTACAGGCCCTTGCCACCTAACATGTAGAGCTGTTCTAGAGAACTGTGCTCTTCAGAATTTCCCTGAGTTCCTGTTTACTGCTTTGAAAGAAGTGCAATTCCCAGTGGATCTAACAAGATGGTGAGAGGAGGGCAGAACCCTGGCTGCTCCTGGGAGCAGCCACAGCTGTGGCCTGACTTAGTCTCATCCAGGCTGGTACGGCCATCTTCTGCATGCTCAGCCCTTCATGGTGCCTGGCATTTTTTTGTTGCTGACTTGTCTTACAGTTAGAAACTCTTCAGATTTTGACAGCACATTTTTGTTAGTCGTCGTTGCTGATGGTGGCATCTGTGTCATATATCTTCATGTTTATAGCCTTAGCAAGGATTTGGGAGCAGGGCTAACTGGGATTACTTTTCAGATGTCATTTAAAATCAAAGACCCTTATGTGAAAAGCAGATGAAACAGGTTTATTTCAAAATAATCTTTTGTCTGCTAACCTTACTGTGTGTTTTTTTTTTTTTAATGTTGCAGGGAAAAGGACCTGGAGGCCAAGTTTATCATTCAAATGGAGAAAAGCAAGACGACAATCACAAACTTAAAGGCAAGTGATGACTGCCCTGCTGTAGTTCTGAGAGCTCCACCCTTGCGCACTGTGAGGGCGGTACCGATGAATGAAGCACCTGACCCCCCTTCACCTCCGAGTTGACCGCACTAACTCAGTACGGTCAGCAGTGTCTGCTGCTCTCCACTGAGGCTTGATCCTGAAGCTGAAGCATAGACTGAGCCTGGTGCCTCTTCCGCCCTAGTTTCACCTGACCTGAACGTCAGGTTCACGCTGTTTCCCTGGTCTGTGCATTCCTACTGTAGACAAGAACCTGGCATTTCCACCCTATATTCTAGTCTGATAGTTGCCTGTACTCTGTGAAGTACTAGACAAGTTTTGAGCCTATATTTGTTTGTTTGAGACAGGATCTCAGGTAGCCTAGGGTGGCCTCAAACGTGGATGAGTATGACCTTGGACTCCTGATTCTCCTGTCCCCATCTCCTCAGTGCTAGGATTGTGTACATACACCAGCATACCTGGGTTATGCTGTGCTAGGGATCAAGCTCTTCAGTTTGGAGGTGTGGATTTCTGAGGCCTGCTGCTCCATGGCCAAGTGTCTGAGCAGTAGATTTCTATTAATTCCTGGTCTTGGTTAGTGGATACCCTAATATCACTTTCTGAGTAGTACAACTTGATCCCCAGAAACAGGAATGGGAATAGTACTGTCTTCCTAGAGGGCATGCTCTGGAGTGCTAGAATGCTTTCTTCCTGTACTTGTCACAGTCTTCAGCACAACAGGACTCTCTCTGGCCTACCCCGAGCCTTCTTTCTTTGGCCTCCCTCATCTTCTCAGGCTGCTTCAGTTCTGTTTACCTCCTGCTTGCAGACCTTACCTTTCCTTCATGCATGTGTGTGCTTACAGTGCTTTGACTGAGTCCTCTCTTGCATGTGTGTTATAGAATCTATTTTCCTTGATTACTCTGTTGCTTTTTGTGTTTTATACACATGTCCTTCTATGATGATTGAGTAACTAGAATAGATGTCAAAATTTTTTCCTTTAAAATTTTATTTTTACTATAATATTTTACCAATTCTTTGGAATTTTTTTTGCATTTAGTATATTTTGATCATAGTTACCATTTACCCTTGTTTTTTCTAATACCTCTCAGATCCATTCCCTATCTTCCCAACTTCACACTCAGTCTATGTATGTATGTATGTATGTATGTATGTATGTATGTATTATCAATTTTTAAAGTATAGTCCACTGAGTCCAGTTTGTACTGCCTGTATAGTCATGGCTGTGGAACCATTGGACCATGGTCTACCTACCAGAGGCCACATTATTAAAGAAAACAAACTTTCCTTTCTCTAGCAGCCATCAACTCTTGGTAGCTCCTAAAGAGTCCCTCCTCCTCCTGTCTAGAATGTTGACAGGTTTGATCTTGTTCAGGTCTTATGCAGCCAGCCCTAGCTGCTGTGAGTTTATGAGTTCAGTGGTCTGTCTAGAAGATGTCTCATCTAGCCCTCCTCATCCTCTGGCTCTTAAAATCTTCCTGTGCTTTTTCTGTAATGGCCACTGCATCTTGTAGCTAAGCACTTCATAGATACCTTTTCTCTGTATGTTGACCAGCTGTGAGTTTCTTTGTTAACCACCATTCACTGAACAAAGAAACTTCTCTGAAGAGGTCTGAGAACCTCACCAGTCTGTGGATATAAAGATATAAATTTAGAAGGTAGTTTGATACTATGTACATATTTTAGCAAAAGTAAAAGTAGCAGGTTTTAGCCCTAGGGCCTGTTACCACACTAACTTTGGGTCTGTGTCCAGATCTACCGTACCAGCCACACGTCTCCTCCTGTGGAGTGGCCTTACTCCTGTTGGTGTTTGGTTACCTGCATAACACTCGTGCCACTAGTGCGCCCACGGGAAATGCTCATATTTTTAATAGACTGTTGTTTTCATTGCTAATTTTTTAAAACAATTTGTTTTAAGAAAAGAAGTTGATTATTGAAAAGTATACTGTTCATTGAAGCTATTTAGCATTATGTCCAAGGTATAAGGTTTTGGGAACACATGGATGATTTGGGGATTCAATTTAAGCTCAAAGCATGAAACGTAAGATATATGCAAACACTTGTAATGGTCTCACAGTATGATATATCTTAGGAGTGTTCTCATTTGGAAAAGAGGGGGAAATTATTTCTAGGTGGAATATTAGGGAAGCTTCCTGGAAGAGGAGACATCTGACTTGGTGTTTTCAAGGGGCCACCACATCACACAGCTCCAGAGGGCACCACTTTTGCCAGAATCAGTGTCCTGCACCCCTAAAGTTGTACAGTGTCCAGCTCTGGGGGGATGTCATAGAGGAAACAGTCAAAGACTCATGCAAGATAAGCAGACAGAGTCTGACTGGACATTGTGTTCATGTAAGCTAATTATATTAGTAAATATCATAGCTGATGGTTATAATACAGATCCTGGACTTCTTATGTTGTATTTATTTATTTTTATTCATTCTTTAGGGATACCAATAGGAATTAGAGTATACATGCTGCAAATGTTAATCATCTTATGTGTTTTAGTCACAGACTTTGTTTCTTAATTTGGGTTACTGGTTAAATGACATTACTCTTTATGTTATTGTTATTATCACTCCATTTTCTTATTATTACTGTCAAAACTGTCTTTCTAGATACCAGAAGGAGGAACTGGGGACTCAGGCAGAGAACGGACCAAGACCTTCACCTATGACTTCTCCTTTTATTCTGCTGACACAAAGAGCCCAGATTATGTTTCACAAGAAATGGTACAGTGTGACAATCTCAAAATCTTCTTGTTTGTTTTTCTTATCAAGAAGAACAGTCCTGTCCTAAAACACTTAAAATGAACTTACTACTATTTTGTTGACTTTAATTTATATGAAATCAGCATTTAGTAACTCAGCTTTTTAATGATCAGATGGGAATATTTATGTAAGCCTGATAATTCAGTCTTCTAAAGTTTTTTTTTCACCATTTTGAGTATGATGATCATAACTTAAATGGTTTCAAAGCCTGAACATTGATCTCATTGTGAAGGATTCAGATGCAGCATTTGATGTTGCGAGTGTGACATTTGCTTACTTAAATCTTGGAAATAAACCCTTTTAGCTTTGAGTCCTCCAGGGATCAGAGCATAGGAAATAAATATCAACCGAAGGCACATTTTGTTGGCTTTTGTGGATCATTATAAGCTACAGAAAGAATTCTAGAAGGAGTGCTTCTCCAGAATCTGTAACTGAGACTGATGCTAGTATTTGCTCAAGAAACAAATGTAGATGGTGGTCCATACAGGTGAGAGCAAGGCATCCCCAGATGACCTTCAAGACCCTGATGATAACATTTCGTTAGAGCAGAAAGACAAATACATACTCCTGGGTGGCCAAAAGCAGGACATTGGAGCAGAGCTGAAGGCACACTAACACAGGTGGAAGAACATGGGCTTCATCACTGGGCCTCTCCCTGACTTCTCAGTTGCTTCCTTACATGTCATAGGTACTTGTTTCAGGTCTTCTTATGTTAACATTGGATCTTCTTGACATGGGTTGTAATCCTGAAAGCTGGAGCATGAAAATACTAATGTGGTTCTGCATCAGAGTGTGGTATTGCCTGGGAGCATGTTAGAATGTAGAATCTCAATATCACTACTACCACCAACCCCTTCCTGCATGTTGGCATTAGGTGTGAGCCACCAAACCTCACTCAGAATCATCTGTCTGTCTATCTATCTATCTATCTATCTATCTATCTATCTATCTATCTATCTATCTATCTATCTAGATCTGCAGTGTTTTGCATGCACTTTGACATTCAAGAAATGTATCTATCTGGTTTAGAGTGGTTTGTGGAGGAGAGCCTGACCTTTTGAGGCAATGCAGATGTTGAGGTTGGAGTACTGTAGTGATTGTATCCAGAAGCTATAGACTCAAACATCAGTAATAGGGAAGGGAGAATTAAAACTGGAGAGAGAGCGGGTACCCAGTGTGATAGAGGAGTTGAAGAGAAACTGATATTTGAGTTTGTCTTGAGTTAGACATGCTTGGTATTCTGTCATGTTAAATCTTCTGAAGAACCAAATAAGGTGAATTTTAACTCTAGTTTTCTTTGGCAAGACTTTCAGTGATCTTTAGTAACTTACTCAGGTTCATAGATAGATTGCCCTTCAATAGGACTAGAGTTGAGGCATGGTGCTGATGTGAGTGGAGGTGGAGAAACCACTGGAAAGCTTTTGTGTGGGAGAAAAGGAATTATCCCATCTGCCAGGTGGGAAGAAAGGGCAGCCTCCTGTCAGCAATAAATGAGGGGGGATGAGTGAAAGAGTAAGGATGACTTTGGGTTCACGGTGGCTGGTCTGTCTGCACTGACAGTGGGGAGTCTGGCATAGAACACAGATTGATGCTCTGTTACACATATGGGAATTAAGTGACAGGAACTAGGAATTTTAAGGGGAAAAACAATTTATTGTAGTGATGGCCAGAATGCCTTCAAACACGGGATGAATGAAAAGCCTTGAAGGATTGTTGCTTGGATTCTAATGGCTCCCTTGGGGGAGGAGGTGAGAAGGCGTGGTGTCATTGACACAGACACCAGGAGTCTTCTGAAAGCAAATAATGAACTCATTTATTTAATAACAGGGTAGGCCTTATATACCCTCCTCTTAGTGCCCAGTCTGTGTGGTCATCCCTCATTGGCTGGGCACAATCAGGAACTCTGACAGCGATTGTTGCTAGGTCCTTAGGCAGACTTGGCATGATCTGGAACTCTGACAGCGACTGTTGCTAGGCCTTCAAGTAGATTCTGCATGATCAGGAACTCTGACATAAACTAGGAACTCTGACAGCTCCTGTTGCTAGGCCCCCAGACAGACTCCAGGTTGGCTCTTAAGGGGTACGTTATGTGCATGCTTTGGCTACTGGTCTGAGCCAATTTCCTTGACCCTATGGGTCTGTCCTACTACAAAGGATCTTTATTTTTAACCTATTTAATGAACTGTTGGATGTCCTTCTTTTACTTGAATTTGAAGTCTTTGGGGACAGAGGAGTACACAGAGGGATGGAGAGCATTGTGTGACCCCAGGACCTGGCTGGGAAATGTTTGCTGACCAAATGACCTAATTTGCAGATGGTTAGTTTGTGGGAGCAGGTGATTACTTCCTGAGCTGTGCAATAATCAAGGTGAGGAACGTAAAAACAAATGTAGCTCTTCCCTCTGGAAGTTAAAAGCCAATGTCCAGAGTTTAAAGGGAGATCTAGATTGTGCAAAGTTGTCTGCCCACAAGGAAATGCCCTGCTTTAGGTGATAGCATTGCATTTCTTCATGGTGCTTCAGGGACCCTTACAGAGAGCAACTGGGATTGTTATGTGGAATTCCCAAACTACAGCACACTGCTGTTACTAAGCCATGTTAATAAGCCATCACAGATGCAGGAAAACAGTTATCTGTAAAATAGTAAGAGATCTGCCTCATCCCTCATTTTAGCACTCCCTCATGAAGGTTTCAGGTTTTCAGTTGCCTACTCAGCTCTTCAGGCTGCTGGTGAGGGGTGAGGAGAGGAGAGCCATCGTGAAGCCAGCACAGTGCCACCTGAACCTCTTTTCTCCTCTTCTGCTTTAATCAGTTAAATTTAAAAGTGTATTGAGAAGCTACATCATGTCCACTACTATAAACTTTCCTATGAGTCTAAAAACCAAACAATTATTTTAGAATTAGGAAAAAAAATCAATGAGTAGTTTAAACCCACAGACTTGTAAATTAAAGACCATTAAATAAGGTCTTAATTTTCTTAATGGTTCTTCAAAACTTCAACAGGAGTCTTTGATCTCTCTTACACTACCTACTTCTTAATTCAACCCTGGAGAAACTTGAAACCAGTAATCTCCCAGTTGCCAGGCTGGAAGGCAGCGTATGTTTCAGCAGCGCCCTCTTGTGGTCCATTCCCCACCAGCGAGGCCCTGGGATGTCAGGTCACCCTTGAAAGGAGCTTTAAAGTGTTTCCGCACACAGCAAGGCAGATTGGGGTAACTGGGCTAGTGAGGGTTTCAGTCAGAGTTTGGTGCTAATGGACTCATCGGTCTCTTGAATCTCTCCTCACATTTGATACAGTAGCAGATGCCAAATCAGTCTGGTGGGGGTGTGACAGGGTAGCCTCTGGCGAGGAGGACAGTCCCTGTTTCTGCATCCTTGTCTGTCTGTGGGTGGGTGGGTTGGTTGGTGCTGAGGTTGAGCTAGATCTGGTGTCACTTGCAGACCTACCTGTTCTAGATCTGTTTTACCATTGCACCTGCTGGGGCTCGTCAGTCTGTCAGAAAACCACCTAGGTGAGCTTCTACTTGCTAACAAAGTAATAACATGGAGAGTGTCACTGGTTTGGTTCAAGGCCTCTGGTTTCTGGTATACCATCATCACTGGATCCGCACTGAAACTCCTCTGGGATATCCTGTGGCCATCCCTGCGGATATCGTTCCACAGGACCAGTCCCTTCACAAGCTCCAGCAGGTCCTAGATGGGTTATAGGTTAGGGTGGGCCAATCCAAGGCCTGGTTGTGGGCCTGGGTGGTAGCTGAGCTGGTCAGTTCAGGCCACTGGGGCCATCCACCTCAGACAAAGGGGCAGAGCCAGCTCCTCTGCTCCCAAGTCAGCAGGATAGATAGGTTCTCCCTGGCCTGTGGTGAGGGGTGGGGCCGTCTCTCCCGATTGCAGGGGTCAGCTCTCCCATGAGGCTCTGGGCCAGCTTTCCCAGGGCCAGTGAAGGGTGGCCTGGGTCAGTGTGGCCCTCTGTCCTAGGAAGGACTTAAATTGTAGAGACATTTGAGTCTGGTTTAACTCTTTTCTGTGATTTATTTTGCCTTCGTCTGGACTGTGAGACATGCCCCTTCTTTGTTTTCTGAAATGTCTGTGGAAGACTTTTGTTTTTGCTCCAGTCTGAGAGATTTGGAGAAAAAGAACTTTTACTTACAGTTCATATGTATTAGTGAATAGAGACCTATTGGTGAAATTATTAAGGCCACGCTCAATGGGGGTTAGAACTTCCAGATCAAAGCTGAAATGGCTACTCACTACGGAGACTGAAGCTCGTAGTCTGGATCCCTGAGTCTTCCTGGGGTTCTTGCTTCACAGACATTTGGGGTTATATCCTTTCAGCTAGCACCAGGGCCTTGTGAATTTAGTGGATGTGACCAAGGCCCTGTAATGAGGGTGTAGACCCAGCTCTGCCACTCACTGGCAAGGGCATGAATACTGACCTTCCCTGTCAGCTTCCTCATCTGAGGGCTTTTGAGCCCTTTCCCCTTTGAATTACTGCATGAACCTGTGACAGTGCCCAGGAAATGTGAGCTCCTGTCACAGCTGGGCATTGAATAAGTCCTTAGACTGATCAGAAAATAACAGTGTCTAAAGCTGAAATGGGTAAAACTTAACTGAGAATAAGTGGCTGTAGCCATTTGTGGAAGAACTTCAGTTGAAATTATAGTTAGTAAAGTTTTACTGATGGATCTGATGGAAGTGCAAGCAGGATGGAGGGAAGAAAGCCTGAGTTCATTTAGCTATATTTTTGTTACACTGTGGATGTCAGCTGAATGGTCAGCAAACTTTGCTGTGGTCAGAGGTACAGTACTCACTTGAGAAGTTTTGCAGTGTACTTATTCCTGGGCTCACATTTCACTGGATGGAATTGCTGGCCTGGCCACTGGGATTCTGGAGAGCTTTCATCATACTCTCACGGCCAGTATATCCTAGGATTTGCTGCTCAGGGTAGTTTGGGAGATATAGCTTTCTGGGTCTCCTGATTTTGGCTCAGAGGGCTCATGACTATAGGAGTACCCACCTTGTACTGTGGTCATCCTACTTGCTCAGTTTTTTCCTCAGCTCTGACTGTGAACCTGATGACATTCATTCTCTGGCATCTCTAGCTGCCAATGTGCTGTTCAAATCTTAAATAGTTTTATTAATAGAAAACCCTGATCCAGATATTGAGGTAAAAACTGAAAGATCAGAGAGGCAGAGCAAGCCACAGCAAACCTCACCTCGCTAACTCCTCAGCCGATCCCAAAAGCCTCTAAGTCCTTACTGGAAAGGCCTCGGCAAAAAAAAAAAAAAAAAAAAAAAAAAAGCCTTTAGTTCCTGTCTCCTCATGCCTTATATACTTATATATGCCCTCCATATTACATCCTAGGATTAAAGGTGTGTGTGCTTCCCAAGCAAAGGCATGAGATCTCAAGTTCTGGCATTAAAGGTGTGTACCACCACTGCCTGGCTCTGTTTTCTTTCCTAGACCGAGTCAATCTCATGTAGTCCAGGGTGGCCTTGAACTCACAGAGATCCAGGCGGATCTCTGCCTCCTGAGTGCTAGGATTAAAGGTGTGTGCCACCACTGCCTGGCCTCTATGTTTAATCTAGTGGATTGTTCTGCCCTCTGATCCTTGGGCAAGCTTTAGTAGGGTACACAATATATCACCTCATCAATGCTCCTACTTCTTGTAGCAGAGATGTTTGAGGGGGCTTGGTGTGCTGGGCTTAGTGGACGTTGAGGCATCAACAGAGCTTTGATGTTCCTTCTTAGCTTGGTATAATAGGGTACTTCACATTTTAATCTGTCTCATCTACGTTAGCTGTCCTCCTGGACCATTTGTGCTTCATCCTCTTTACCCCCAAATATCAAGTATGTGGGGCGTGGGACAGAAATGCAGGTTGTGGATGTGACCCTCTGGTCTCCCCACCATGTCTACAAGTATTTGAATAAGTATCCAAACAGGAAATTACACTGGGACCCAGTTGTGAGGGAGCCCAGACATTCACCACCCTGCCCCCAGCACTCTGCTACCCCAGGTCGCCTAGAGACTTATCTTGAGGAACATTGGCCCTGAGAAATGAAGGCTTTGATTTGGTAGGATTCAGGCAATAATTTCTGGCTACTGTGACCTTTAGGTTTTGAATATTAATTTCTGGAGGCTCTGATAAGATGAATAGCTTTACACATTATGCAGTTCTGAATTTTAACATCACGTGTTAAAATCTTTGCTTCTAGACACAATTGCCACTTGGCCTTGTTTACATTTTTATTTCAGAAATCATTTGCTAACTTAAGTAGGAAAAAGGATGGTGTTGCTTTTTGCTTGCTTGGAAAGTTTACTTTTGATTAAAAACTGGGGTGCATACATATTCTGTTGTTGCAGCTCGGCAGTGATTTATTTTTATGCTGTAATCCTTAAAGATGAAAGTAACATTCAAGAATATTGTCAACACTGCAGGGACTTTTATTAAAATCCATGGTACTTGCATCCTTTGTGTTTTTATATATGTATATATATTTTTTCTTTTAGGTTTTCAAAACTCTGGGCACAGATGTCGTGAAATCTGCATTTGAAGGTTATAATGCTTGTGTCTTTGCATATGGGCAAACTGGATCTGGAAAGTCCTACACTATGATGGGAAATTCTGTACGTTGTTTAGTTGTTTATATGCTATATGGGAAGGAGATTTCTCGTTATCTTTCTCTGGAGTGATGGAATTATCTCTTATCTACTAGGTCTGCACCAACTTTTCCTGTTCTGATCTTCCTTTAGTAATAAGAAGATAAAACTCAGTAATAAGCTGAACTAAATTTCCTTGGAGAGATTTGAAATTAGAAATAGTTTTACATTATAAGCACGAATAATGGGTGCAAGTCCCAGTTCGTTTCTTCTTTTAAAGGCCTTATAATCTTATCAAGAAAGTAATTTATTCTTCTTTTCTGCCAGCATAACAGTTTGAATAAAATTACCAAAGTCTGTTCTTTTTAAAATTATTCAGAACATTTTTCCTAAGAATAGCACAAAAAGGAAAATCTAAACTTTTTGATGGAAAGGTGTTACATAAGTCCAGCAAATACATGAAAAAGTTGGCAATACAGAGCCCTTACAGCTTATATGGTCATAAACACAGCATCTACAGTTTAGAAATTAATCGATGTAAATTAACAGGCACTTGTATTTGCACCAGAATGTGGAGAAGTGCAATGTAGATATAATAAATTTGGACATGATATGATGGTGTGCACTTGTAATCCCAGCTTCTTGGGAGGCTGATGCAGGATGATCACAAACTTCAGACCATCCTGGTGAACTTAGAGAGATCAAAAAACAAAAAAAGCCTGGGAATGTAGCTTCATAGCTCAGTGGTGGGACACCTACACAGCATACTCAAGGCCCTGACTGGGTCTCTGACAACACACAAAACAAACAAAAAAGCATCAACAACCCATGAATAAGTACTTAAAACTTAGTGATACGTATGTAATTTTTTTCAGGTGGTAGCAAGAACTGTGTTCAGTAAGGCCAAACCTGTGGTGTGTTGTAGATGTAGACACTGAGTGGTTTAGGGGCCCCTGCCAGCAGGCACAGTAATGTCTTCATTGCTCAAGGTTTGGTGGTCCATGGAAGCATGGTATTGAAGGGAACCAAATCTTCTTAAGGACACCATTTCATTGCCTGGAACCTAGTTTCTCAAACCCAGACTTTGTGTTTACATGGGAAATACGGCCCTGAGCTTGTGTCACAAGGCCGGAAGGCAGGAAGAGCAAGGGAGAGAGAGAATACACCTCAGATTTCCCATTCCACTTTAATCACTATTTTCCTCTTCTTGTTTTCCTACTGAACTTTTCGGGGAAAAAAAAAAAACTCTAAAAATGAAATATGCATGTCAGTTTTCCACTAGTCACTTTATACAAGACATTTACCAAGCACTCCTAAAAGGCAGGTGCTTTTTCTCTGCCCTTGTAGGTAAGTACAGCTTCAGTATTCTAGTTACTTACTTTAAAGTAAGAAAGACAACTTGTGGTGGAAGTATCAGTTGTCCTTGGTAACAGCTTGTACCAATTGAATGGTAGATACAAAGGGAAAAAATGCCTTAAAGCAGCGGCAATGATAGTTCTTCAGTTCTTTGAGGGGGAGTTGAGTGGAGGTAGGAAAGGACTGGCCAAGAATGCATAGCTTCTCTGAGGTCTAGGTTCCCTAATGAGAGCATTTTGCCTGATGCAGAGTGTCTTAGTTTGGGTTACTATTACTATGATGAAACAGCATGACCAAAAGCAAGTTGTGGAGGTTGGTGTTTGCCTTACACTTCCACATCCATAGTTCATCACTGAAGGAAGTCAGGACAGGAACTCAAGCAGGGAAGGAACCTGGAGGCAGGAGCTGATGCAGAGACCATGGAGGGGTGCTGCTTACTGGCTTGCTCCCCATGGCTTGCTCAGCCTGCTTTCTTATAGAACCCAGGACCACCAGCCCAGAGGTGGTCCCATCCATAATGGACTGGGCCCACCCCCATCACTTATTAAGAAAATGCCCTTGTCTGCTTAGAGCCTGATCTTACGGAGGCATTTTCTCAGCTGAGGCTCCCTCCTCTCAGATGACTCTATCTTGTGTCTAGTTGACAGAAGACTAGCCAGTACATAGAGTGTTGCTCACAGACTTGTTCATGTGTCCTGAACTATGTTATATACCCACATTGCTTAGTGATATGGTGAATTTGCTCTTCCTAAGAGGAACCTCACAGGGTTTGCTGTACCAAAGGAAGGCTGTCTTCCATAGTTTAATGTGCTTCTGCCACCAACATTTTAAGATGCTTATCTGGAGGACTTTATAAGGTTTTTTGGTCAGTGTTTCCTTTCTGCATAGTATGTATTATCCCTGTTTGGTCATTTAACCAGATATTTTTAAGATGTATTGTACCTTATAAACTATATTCTTTGATAGAGAACAAGTGTCCTAATCCTTGCAAGCATTGTTAACTGGTTTAACATCTGATAAATGTGTATTATCCTAATCATAGCACTTAGAAATCAGAAGGCATTATCCTTTCATTTCAGAGTAAGAAGCAGTGCTACAGGGGCTCTTGGTGGGAGGTTTGGGCTTGGCACTCAGGCTTCTAGAGTCAGTGCCAGCCAAATGCAAGTTCACTGCCTGCCCGAATCTAGTTTGAGTGATGGTTGTGATACCCTTCTTCTCCATTTCAGAGTGATTCTGGTTTAATACCTCGGATCTGTGAAGCACTCTTCAGTCGGATAAATGAAACCACCAGATGGGACGAAGCCTCTTTCAGGACTGAAGTTAGGTAGGGCCACGACCTGAGGCATAAAATTCTGAGGGGCCCAGGCTGCTTGACTTGTACAGAGGTCTTGCAGAGAGAAGGATGAAGCTGCAAGTTGCTGAGGAATGAGCCTGCCCCTTCCTGACCTGAACGTAATGTTAGTTAGGAATAGAACTGAGACTACTTGGGTACAATTTGGGTGTGAAATAGCTTTGCTTGATGGAAGCTTTAGTATTTATTCTATTTTTATCTCAAATGGAGTGAGTCCTTGACTTTTGTGAGCTCATGGAATTCATTTCATTCTTTTGGCTAAGAAATGTCTGTGGTACTCACTGTGGAATCCTGTGAGTCTCACCCTCACATCAGTCTGGGTGCACAGAGCACCTTTTCCTTTCTGTCACTGAGTCTCTCCAGTGGTCTTGAGCAGAGCTGTGTTGACCTGTAGTGCTCAGAGCCAATCATCCTCTTGGTGACTGTGACTCTGGGTAAGCTATTTAAAGCACATCGGACCTCTCGAGTCATATCTATAAAGTGGGGATGATGAAGTAACCACCTTTGGGCCAGGACTCAGGGAAATGCATCCTGTGAAGTACACAGCAGAGGCATAGATGGTTGCCATGTGTGTTGTTTGTTATTATTAATGTCTTAAAATCATTTTTTTTCTAAAATTCATTCTATTTAAAATTTATAGCTACTTAGAAATTTACAACGAACGTGTGAGAGACCTACTTAGGCGGAAGTCATCTAAAACCTTCAATTTAAGAGTCCGTGAGCATCCCAAAGAAGGACCTTACGTTGAGGGTAAGAAGGAAGTTTCTTGTCTTCATACACTCCCCTGCTTTCCCTTGGGATTGGTGTAAATACGAAGTACAGAACTGTGGTGATGGCACGAATTTAAACAGTTGTTTACTTTTGGAACTTCATTTCGGTAAAGGTAACCAGAGGCACCACTCTCTGTCTCCTGCTCTCCGAGTCTGTACTTCACTAGGTATTCACTAGGTGTTTGGTGAGGCCAACCCATAATTTCCGTTGGCTTAAAAAACTCTGGAAATGGGTTTTCTCATCTTTCCAACAAGATGAGCAAGTCCTGCCCCACCCTCCCACCCCCAAACCTGTGTGTCTCAGTGGCGATGCATTTTCCTGTGGTCCTTTCACCGACCTTACGGTGTTTGTCAGAAGAGTTCCCATAGGCGTTCCCTCTTGGCTCTTGGCATCTGTGTTGTGATGGGGTAACTATGGTGGGCTGGGCACCTACCTCTACACTGTCACCCTTTAGATTAAAACAGGGAAAGTGGTTCACTGAGTATACAAGGTCACAGCAGCTAAGCAATAGCTAGAGAAGCACATTGATGAGCTGTGGAGGTTGCAATTTAAAAGTACTCTTCTGGTTTGGGTGGGCTTTTCTGTGTGCAGTTTCCTGGCATGTAATGCATGCCATGTGAAGGAGTACAGTCCATACTGGCTTAAGTACAGGTCTGGGAGGTTAGCTTGAGCCTCTGTGCATATAAATTTCAGTTGTTACCCTATGGCATGTAATTAGTAGCCATGCAAATCAGGGTCATGCAGTTAAGGTCAGCCTTGGTCAAAGAATCTGGCCAGCAATTCTGGGATGCAGCTCTGTGGTGTTAAGTTACAGCACTTTGAGGTTTCTGGTCTCTTACTGGTGGCCCTGCCCCTAATACTAACTGAGTCGTGGAGGGCATTGCATTGGTGTAGGGAATTGGCCCTTGCCATTCTGGCTGTGATAGTTAATCTTTTTGTCAACTCCATGGGATTTTTGAATTACCATGGAAATAAATCTCAGGCATGTTTATGAGGAATTATCTAGATTACTTTAGTTGAGGTAGGTCAACTTCACCCTCAATGTGGGTAGCACCATTCCATGTTCTGGGGACCCAGACTGAGCGAAGTTGAACACAAGCCTTCATGGCTCTCTGCTCCTGATTATGGACACGATGTGATTGGTGAGCAGGTGCTTCCTTGTTCCGCCGCCGTACCTTCCCCACTGTGGCTGACCGTCTCCCTTGAACTGGGAGCCACCATAAACCTCTCCTCCCGTCAGTCTCCTTGCCAGGTGTTTCTTATCCCAGCAGTGAGAGGAGGAGGATTAGTTACACTGGGTTCCAGGTCATGTTGTTAGGAGGCTAATTTTGCTCTTCCTAAGGGAGCTGAGTAACTCATAGGGGAATAGCCTAAAGGTATAGGGATTGCTAATAGAAACACTTTCTTAGGATATTGTCCATGAAGTGTGCTTCCTTGCTGTCAAGAATGGAACTGGACATAGGTATGAAGGTGTACCTCTTTAGCTCCCTTTTTTTAACCTTGAGGTCTTCAGTGTGCCAACAGGACCCCGTCTATGTTTTAAGTTCCCATTTACATTTGTGCTCTATCTCCCCAGAGAAAGGGGTGTGGTGTGTTGTGTGTGTCTTTTGGGAGTGTTATGGAATATCTATTGCTTTCAGTCTAACAGGACCTTTACATTTTTTTCTTTGTTATAGCAGATGTTAAAACATAAAATTGATATATGAAGAGACAGAATAATTAAGCAGGGTAAAAACATCTGCATCTATTGACCTCTATAATTATGATCCTTATAAATTTTTAAATAATGCAGTTATTCAGACATTGAGTATGGATTATGGATTATCTGAAAATAAAATAAAATGTCATCACTCAACTTTTATACCAAAATATTTGAAAAAAAGGTCAAGAATTTACATGTAAAAACTAAATAATGACATGATCACAAGTACTGTTTTTTTTTTTTTTTAAATATTTGACTTAAAACCAGGAAGCCATATAAGAATTATTTTTCCCCCAATGGTGCTAGGAATCAGAGCCAGGGTCTCCTTTGAGCATGCCAGGCAAGTGCTCTGTGGGACTGGGCTATACTACCACCCTGAACTACGGATGAATTTTAAGTGGGAAAAAACATTGCTCAGCTTCTTTCCTCATAATAGAAAAGCAGAAAGACCCTTACAGGTGATGTTTGTCACCCTCTGGGTGGCTAGAGAGGGTGCTGGGGAGGGGAAGGGGACAAGTGTGCTTCACATCCTCACTGTTGCTGCAGCAAACTGCCCTCTGTGGAGGAGAGCCTTGCAGCAGATGTCGGCATTTCTGACGTCCTTTGATTTAGCAGTTCTCCCTCCACGAATTTATTTTGTAGCTACATTCCCATGCATTTGAAAAGACCAATGCACAAAATATTTTAACAGCCCATACTTGTATTTGGAAATAAAATAAAATAGAAACGACCTCTGTAGTCTCAAGAAGTGGCTGGTAAATTGCTTGTGGTTCAGAGGTACAACCATTTCTGTGCAACCTTAAGAATGAACACCAGGCCACCCTGACTGTTATTGAGTATTCTTAGATGGACTTAAGGAAAAAGCAGGAAGCAGAACAATGTTCATTTTATCCTGGTGTGTGGGGTTGACCAGAGGGCCTCATGTGTGTCCCGCCCGGTATGCTACCATGTGCATGGAGGGATGGTGGCTTTATATGTGTGTAACTGCCTTAGTCTGTATGGATTGTCTTGAAGGGTATGGGGAAACTGGGAACACTGGTTACCTGACAGAGGGGAAGGAAAGAGTTGGCTGTAGGGAAAAAGCAGAGGTGCCCTATGAGCTACCTTCCCCTCAAGAAAAGAGAGATAGTAAAAAATTTTTTAGTTTTAAAATATTTTCAGGTTGTGCACGGGGTGAGGCATACATGAGGCTTTTCTGGGGTGAAGTATAACACGAATCTTAAGAATTCATCTACAGTGGAGCTTTTATATATTTCTTCCTTATGCCATGATGCTTCTAAGAGGTTGCTGTTACGAGCTGACTTTTATTCTGGGCACTCTGTGTAATGGAGTGTAATGGACACTCAGATTAGGTTTCCGAGGCCCATTGAGGCGAACCAACTTGTCCAGCTTTCAGTCTGCATTGCAGTCCACCATTGTGTAGACACCAGATGACCAACCAGGTTGGCAGATGCATAGTCATGCATGATCCTTAGAGGGAAGTTACTTATTTCCTTCACTACATAACAGAAGGATTCCCTCAACCCTTTCTTTTTCCTTCTAGATTTATCCAAGCATTTAGTCCAGAACTACAGTGACGTGGAGGAACTTATGGACGCAGGGAATATCAACCGTACCACTGCAGCGACCGGGATGAACGACGTCAGTAGCAGATCTCACGCCATCTTCACTATCAAGTTCACTCAGGTAAGGGCAGCATTGAGCAGAGGCTCCAGGCCTCAGGCCTTTCCTTGCTGATTAGCACCAGCTGAGCGCTGATCCTTGTTGAACCAGGAGCAGCAGCAAGCAAAGGTGACTGTCACTTCCTTGTTAATTAGAGTTGAACATGTGCTGTGTGCTCAGCTTTTCTGCATTCACAGTGATTTAAAAGTCCTGATGTATATCCTTAGAAATATTTAGCAGGCTTCCACCTTGTTCTAGGCATAAGAAAAACTTGCTCTGTGCCTAATTAAGCAAAGTTTTCATTGTTATAAGCACAGTGGGAGATAATAGATTTTGAGGCAGAGCAGCTGGAGGCCGAGGTGAGAAACGGGTGCAGTACATTATCGCTCCACGGGCTCCGGTGATGTTGATTATGATTAGAGTAGTATTAGAGGACAGTGAGCACTCAGAGGCACTAATGTAAGAATTCATTATGATCAGGTGGTACTCAGTGTCTTGAAGGTGGCTGGGAGTGGCTGAGGGGAAGGTGTCTGTTACCAAACCAGACCATGGGTATACACGGTTTCAAGTCTTCCTGGCTTCAGCAAGTGTTAGGTGTTGGAGCTGTCTGTCCACATTGACAGTGAACACAGCAGAAACAGCCAGGCACCCCTTCACTAATTTGAGGATCAGAGGGCAGGGAAATGCGTTGACTCTCCAAGGGCTCTCTGGGCATCCTCCGTGTCCTGCTAGACCTTCAGTTAGAGCCTCGCTTTGCATTACAGCCGCTTACTGGCTTTTCTTCAGTTTTCTGTTGGATGCTTAAGTAGTAAGTAGTAGCTGACTGTAGTTTCTAAAAGGTTTACATGTCCATCAAAATCTACATTTTATTATTATTTGTTGCATTTGGCTAAAATATAAAACATAGGTTAAAGGCCTTTAGAAATATAAAGTTCTGATAGGATTCAGAGCAAGGGATTTTACATTTTGGTATTTCACATCTTTAAAGATGTGGTGTGCTTAATTAAACAGTATCATAATATCTTACATGACTGTCTGTCTGTCATGTTCTGAAGAGCCTTGTGTCTGCAGTGCTGAAGCTTCCAGAAGAAGAAAGCTAATTACTTGTTATTTCGTTTTCTTTTCCAGTTCCCCATGGGGGCTGATTTTATATTGTTTTGCTCTCCAATCCTGAGGGTTGTTGTCAAGAGTGACAGTGGTTTGCCAAATGGACTGTTTTTTCAGAAAGTGTGAGGGTCACTTATGGTAGAGTTCTGTTGCATCAGGTTTAATTCAGGCAGATAGCCAATAAAATAACAAAATGAACACCAAAAGTCTACCTTGAAAGATCTCCGCTGGGGAGTGGAAAGTGATGGGAATTTGGTCATGAAAAGCACAGAACCCTTTGTTCACTTCAGTGTTACGTGCATGTCTTTCCACAGGCAAAATTCGATGCTGAAATGCCATGTGAAACAGTGAGCAAGATCCACCTGGTCGATCTTGCTGGAAGTGAGCGTGCGGATGCCACCGGTGCCACTGGGGTCAGGCTCAAGGAAGGGGGCAATATAAACAAGTCCCTTGTGACTCTGGGAAATGTCATTTCTGCCTTAGGTAGGCTTGAGGTCACCCCCTGCCCTTTTTTTTGCCTGGGTACTGTGTTAGCTTGGAACACGCCTGCTGGATGTTTGTCTCACAAACCCAGGCAGCATGCACAGGTCTTTAGAGCAAGTTAGACAAAGCAGGGACTTTGGAATGACCTCTTTCTTTCTTCCCGGCAGCTGATTTATCTCAGGATGCAGCCAACCCTCTTGTGAAGAAGAAGCAAGTTTTTGTGCCTTACAGGGATTCTGTTTTGACTTGGCTGTTGAAAGATAGCCTTGGAGGAAACTCTAAAACCATCATGATTGCCAGTAAGAGTTGAAATTATATCCCTGAGCATCAGTATTTCCTGTGAATTAAGTGTAAATATTTAAGTTGGAAGTGTCTCATTAGGATGCAGCATCTTTTATATCTTAAAGAAAGAAATGTTTCTTCCTGGCTTGAAAACAATGTATTGTAACACATCGGTAGTTTGGAATTTGCAGTTCTGTAGATGTGGGTATCATGGAGGCTACAGTGGCAGGCAGACATGCTCAGCTTCTCTCTGCTTCAAGTAAAGGCAGGCACTTTGAACTTCACCAGCTAGTAGGAGAATCCTTTACAGAGACAGCAAATAAACAACCCACGGTTTTCTCATTTAAAACAGTAGATGCAGAATTTAAAATTTAAAATTGAAAGGAAAAACCAAGGAGGTAAGCACAATGGGAATAGTAGTATACTCTCTTTTTATAGTTGACCAATTAAGTGAAAGAATAAGGATTGAGAAAACTCTGTAGAACAGGAGATTTGCTAAGGGGACTCAGGACATGTTACCTCCCAGCCTTTCTTCCCTCTGTCTCTTCCTCCTTTCCCCTTCACTCCCCTCTGCCCTCTTCCCAGCCCTTGCCCTGCAGTCACTGGTGGCAGCAAGCGAACACAACATGTATTCACCCCAGTCTTCAAGTTAGGTGGAAGTGGGCTGCCGTGCAAAGTAACCAAAAGCTTCTAGAAGGAAGGAATTAAGTAGCCTACTGATTTTTGAAAAATTGCTGGGCTCTGGGCTTTTACAGATGATGGATTTTTATCAGAAATGCCCAAGTATTTTAATTCTTGCTCAATAGAGAAGTGCCACCCTGAAATTTCATGTGATCAACTGAGAAAACCCCTTCCCTGGGTAGGGTTTCTCTCACCCATCTTGAAGTTGTTCAAGTGGCTGATTATAGATGTGGCAGGAGCAGAACGACCTTTAATTTGGTACAGTGAACACCCTTCCCTATAAACCTTAGATATTTTTTAATATTCATTACTGTGGCAATGAATATTTAGTCTTTCTTGTGACCTGGGGTTGATCTGACTTTTAAATTACAAACCAACTTTGTGTTAAATGAAACATGGAGTGCTAGATGAATTATTTTTTGTATTCATTCTTCACAGCCATTTCACCTGCTGATGTCAATTATGGAGAAACCCTAAGTACCCTTCGCTATGCAAATAGAGCCAAAAACATCATCAACAAGCCTACCATTAATGAGGATGCCAACGTCAAACTCATCCGTGAGCTGCGAGCTGAAATAGCCAGGCTGAAAACCCTGCTCGCTCAAGGGAATCAGGTTGAGTTTTTCTGAGATTTATAGATAATTTTCTTTGAGTAATGGCATCTATTTCTAGCTCTTAATGAGACAATTATCTTGTGGTATTGATTTGAGTAAATAAGTGCTAAGTAAAGCTTCAGATGAGTTAGCAAGTCTCTATATCATCTTCCTTTTGGCCTTTGCATTCCATATGCATTCTGGGTGTAAGATTTTATCCATCAAGCCTTAAATGATTAACCGTCTAATAGTTATCAATTATGGATGGAAATTTAGCATGCAATAGGATTAGTGGTGTAATCTCCAGTAGTAAAATGAAATTTAGACACTTAAAATAATATTTAAAATTCTTTGCATGGATTTTGTGACACTAAGTGTATTTTAATAGAGGTGATGTGTTTGAACACCTTTCTGAGTCTTGGTCTCACTTTAGCCACACCCTAGCTGACTCAGTGGTGCCTCGGATGCTCTTCTCCGGGGCCTTGCATGATTATTGAAATGGCCTCACCTCAGGATCTTTTGAATTCCAGAGAAGCTGTGTCTTTTTGTTTCTCACAGTCTGAGCATGTTCCTGCAGGGTTATGCTCTGTGAGGACTGTGTAAGCTAAGTTCCAGATGGCTCAGGTATTACTGTGAAGAAAGGCCACCCTTGAAAGAAAATCAGAGATAGTGTTATCAATCTTGTTATCAGAAAGAAAATCAGTCTTGCTGTTAGGAAATAAAATGAAGATACATTTATTTCATCCTATGTTCTTAGGCCATGTGTGGACATCTTAAATCTATATCATTATACAACCCCATTTCTGTAAATGGGAAGCGCTCAGCGCTTTCCCTGTAAGAGTATATGGTACTCCACACTCTTGATAGCCCGTAAATGGTTTGAACAGTAGAAGTGTTGTCAAAATGAAATCTCAGTTTCCTGTGTCCTGAAGTCTGCCTGATAGTCCTTTCCCACGAGATGGCAGACTGCAGTCAAACAGGACTCCTTCATTGTACTTAAAAATATCTGTGTACCCCTTCTGTTTGTGGTGTCAGGCCTGTGGTGTGAAAGGGAGTTGTCAGCAGAATGTGATATCAGGAACCACAGTACTTGTTTCTATTTATACACTGCTATTGGAATCCTTTATCTGTGTTTTGGAAACGTTATTTGTATAAAGTACACCTTTTAAATGATTAATATGTGAAGAAAAGCATTTGAAAAAGCCTACACGCAGCTGCCTTCACTTGATTTTCCAAGAGACTGTTGAGGGAGAGTGGGTATGCGTGATCTATGGTACCCATACGGGGGGTCAGAAGACAGTTTTCAGAATTTGGTTCTCTCCTTTCCTTATGTGAGTTCCTAGGCTTGAATTCCCATTATCAGGTTTGGTGGCAAGTGCCTTTACCCACTGTCTTAGCTAGGGTTATTATTGCTGTGATGAGACACTGTCATCAGTGTTTTGGGGCAACTTGGGGAGGAAAGGGTTTATTTGACTTATATTTCCACATCACTGTTCATCACTGAAGGAAATCAGGACAGGAACTCAGACAGGGAGGCCAGGGAGGAGTGCTGCTTTCTGGCTTGCTCTCCATGGTGTTTTCAGCCTGCTTTCTTTCTTTCTCTCTCTCCTTTTTATTTTTCAGGTGAAAGGCAAACAGCAGACTCATTTATTCAGTAACAGTCTGGTTTCTATAAAACCCAGGACCACCTGACCAGGGATGGCACCAGCCAATGGGCTGCGCCCCCATCAATCACTAATTAAGAAAATGCCTTATAGACTTGCCTATAGCCCCATCTTATGGAAACATTTTCTTAATTAAGGTTCCTTGCTCTCAGACAACTTAAGCTTGTGTCAAGTTAACATAAAACTACCAGCATACCCACCAAGCCATCTCCCCAGCCCTGCCTTGTGTTTGCCCTTATGTGGTTGTGGTTGTGTTGTGTGCCTGTTGTTGTGTTTGTTTATCCCCTTATTTCTTTCATGAGTTAATATCATTTCTATAACTAAGGAGTAATTTTGTTACCATTTTGGAAGTGAAGATGGAAAGTTTATTTACAATGTGTTTTTGGTAAATTTAACATATACATTATAGTGAACATGGGACCCTAATTCAAGGTAAGGAATATTCTGAAACTATAAGTCTTTGAGATGTTAAAGGATGTCCTACCTAATTAAATTTATGATAATTAAAACAAATGGTCTTAAATGCTCATTAAAAAAATCTCTGAATAAGGGACTGGAGAGAGAGTCTGGTTGGTGAGTACTTGCTTCTATAGAGCCAGGCGAGGGGTAAATGCCTGTCATCTTAGCCATGGTGAGACCCGGGATAGAGACACTCAGATCCCTGGAGCTTGTGGACCAGTAGCCCTGCCTGCATTGTGAAATTGTGAAGTTCTGGCCTATGAGACACAGATTTTAAACTAAGGTGGAAGGTGCCTTAGGACCAACACTCAAAGTTGTCTTCTGACCTCCCAGATATGCGTCCGCGCGCGCGCGCGCGCGCACACACACACACACACACACACACACACACACACACACACCATCCCCCTTTCAGTCTCTCTCTAAAATAATTGTGAGTAAATCTTTCTGAGAACATTCCTCTATTTCTAGAATATTCTATTTCAATGTTCCTGTAGTTCTTTGAGAGTGTTAATTTAACTTCCATATTTAGAATTGTTTATTTAAGCAAAGCTAAATAAAAATCAGTTCTTATTTTTAGTAATTTTGTATATTGCCATTGCAGAGATCTTCTGCCAAACATTTAAAAATACAGTTTGATAAAAACAGAAAGATTCTGATATCTATTTACTTTTATTATACAGAACTATATGTGTATAGATGTATGTAAATGTATACAGAGAATTTTTACAGGATTATATATAAGTACAGAAAAATTGCATCATGTATACATAGTTGCATGGATTTAGAAGTCTCCCATCTCCCTGTACTCATCTTGAGACTAGAGCTTCACCATTTCCTAGGAGCCACTCTTAGTGCTCTAGCCAGAACCCACCCTCCCATCCTCTCGGGGTACCCGCTTTCCTGACCATTTGAGGCAGAGCTTTTGGGTCTGCTTGCTTTTGCTCTTTATGTATATGGAATCTTGTAGAATGTATTATTTGGATCCAATGTGTTCATGAGGTTCATCCATGTTGTTGCATGTAGGTGAGGACCCACTTACTCTTATTTCTGTTTGTATTCCATTACACAAACATTTCCTAGTTCATCTGTCTGTCAATTTTTGATTTGCTTTTTGAGGGCTTCCTATTTGGTGTTACTATGTTTGTTGTGGACCTTTAAGTGCCTTTTAGTACATATACAGATGAATTTCTGTGGGGCTTATGCCTAAGAAGACTTGGTGGTCAGATGTATACATATCATATGTATAACTTCAGGAGGTGGCACCAGTTTCTAAAGTAGTTATGCCCTTCCCTTTCCCCATCAACATACGTCAGTACCAGTTTAGTCTCTGCAAGTCTTTGCCCACAGTCCATGCTATCCACTTGTCACTAGCTATTTTGATGGATACGTATTGCAGAATGCTTTTACTTTGCGCTTTGCATATTTTGAATGAAGTTGGCCTCTAGATGAATTCTCTTATCAAGTGCTTTGTTGAATTTACAAATATTTCTACTTTTCATTTTATAGGAAAAAATTTCAACTCCCTAATCTTTCACAAATGTATTTGGGAAAGAGTAAATTAATAAAAAATATGAACAATTACACTTAAGAAGCAAAGAAAACAATGGGGCAAAAAGATGGAGGTATAATGGACTCCTCACTTTTACAGCCAGGCCTGGTGTTAGAATGTAAAGAGTAGAACAACTTTGTAGAGGCTTCTAAGAGAGGTGTGTATGAGACAAGAGCACAGAGTAAAGCTTAGCAGATAATGCTTGTAGGAATAGGCAGAGTCCTATCAGTTAACTTGCAGAGGAGGAGACTGATTCAGAAAGAGTAATACATTTAGCTCTAGAAAAGATTACTTTGTCATGAGTAGAGTGAAGTTCACAATTAAAATCAGACAGTACATCAACTTCCCTGAAGGAAAACACAAAACAATTGGAAATAGAGGAGACAGAGCCACACACATTTGTCACAGCGAATGCTCTCATTCTGTGAGAGCGCAGGCAGGCAGAATTGAGTGGGGATGTAGCAGGTGCACATAACATCATGGGCGTCGGCTGTACTCAACACAGTTCAGACGAGGAAGGAGGCTGCAGCGCAGGCAGCCTAGCACTACTTTCTTTGCTACGACAAGAACAACTACAAATAAAAGCATCACGTCCCAACAGGAAAGGGAAGAAATAATGTGAGCACAGGTTGTAGAAAAATAGTTTCAGATTGCTTCCTGAATATGTGAAAAATATCCAATACAATGAATACCATTGACTACACAGCATCTTGGCAAGAATGGTAGGCTTTAGTTTAACTTTCATATCTCTAAACCTGATAAAAGTGGGATGCCAGCTGTATAACCAGGCAACACTTACAATAATAAAAATAATCTCCTAATTGATGAATTTCATCCAGGTTAAGATAGACAATATATAAACTTCAAATGGCAGCTGAGAAGCTATACCTTTGGGTCCCCTGAGACAAGGGACTCCTATAACTGGGCATATCCCCCAGAAGGCCTCTGGAAGGTGTGCCTCTGGTATTTCCACTGGACTTTGGCTGCTGTGGCCTGTGGATTTCAAAAACAAGGTGGGCTGTATACATGCCCATGTGAATCTCCACCCTGCATGTGGATAGCTGAAGGAGCGCTCTAGATACTGTCACTAGGCTCTTGCCTCTGAGTTCTACACTTGTGCTTCCCCACTGAGCAGCTATGTCCTCTGTTGACCACAGAGTCCCAGTATGGCTCACAGTCATTCTGCTAGATTGAATGCTTAACTGAACCTAAGAAGACCTAAGAAAGAGATAGAAATGAAAACCATGCTGGTACTGTAAGGAACAATCACATGCATGATGCCTTAGGAGTTCCCCTTGAGGAAATTTAGTCTGTTGATCTGGTCATGTATACTATAGGCAGTTGGTACAAGGATAATTACTGTAGCATTGCTGGGGAAGCAAATGATTAGAAAAACCTGCATTTACATCAGTCAGGAAAGCACCAACAGCAACTACAGGATATTCATGCAGTGAATACCAAACAATGGAAATAAAATCATTAAAAAGAAAATAAAAAGGTTTGTATTGTTTAAATATAAACAATATGTTCCTCATATATTGTTTTTTAAAAAACAATAATCAAGATAAATGGCTTATGCCATTTTCACTTATGATAACACAATAAAAATATGGTTCCATTAAATTGAGAAAGAATGCTTGCCTGTGCTGAACTTCTTCTGTTTGTTCCTGTGACATCTCTGGCAGCAAGAACAGCAGACTGAATAGGACATTTATGCTCCTGCTGCTCAGGCCCAGGCTTAATTATTAGACATGCAACTGAAACCCCAGGCTGTCTACTTGTCCTAGGTTCTTACCTGATTTTGGTGTTTATGGCTTCAGATTTTACCCTTCTGCAGCATGGATAAAGAAATAAACATAGATTGCAGCATAGCTGGGCCATATACTGGATGCCATCAACAGTGAAAGCAAGTATGTTTCAATGTGGATGAACTATTAAGCAAGACTTGAGTGTTTTACTTTTTGAACTTTGTTCTTTCTGTCCATTAGACAAATGAATTCTGAGAACTGTAGGGACTGAGATGTGTTTGACTTGAGTGAAATGCTGCTGCCATGGCTTCTCCTTTACTGATTGTATTGCAGATGTAGGTTTACAACTGTGAGGTCATGATTTCAGTATTAAGACATGTACTCCATGGATTAGAGACCTAATGATAAAGAATACTTTGAGGGGATGTGTGAGAAATTACTTTTTATAAACATTTAATATTTTTTTGTGAAACTGTTTTGGTAATTTGGGGAAATCCTAGAAATGTGCATCACTTCTGTTTATTAACTCTGATGTCTTTATGATTTAAATTGTAGATTGCTCTCCTAGATTCGCCTACAGCCTTAAGTATGGAGGAAAAACTTCACCAGAATGAAGCAAGAGTAAGTGATGGTTTGAGTTATTATTGTTTTTTAATTTCAACTTAAACATTGTTTTTTAAGTCCTTGTTTATTATAATTTGAGACTGTCACCAGGCTTTTACCACTAAATGGAACATTTGTGCTTCCCCATTGGTTGGGACACATTTTCTTCATTACACTTACCTCTAACCCAAACCCCATGGCCACGGTCTGTTTTTTGTGTTCAAGACAGAATATCACTATGTACTGTCAGCTGCACTTGAACTCGTGGTGTTTTGGTCTCATCCTGCTAGGTTTAGAGGCATGCACCACCACACCTGTTCCATGATACTTCTTTTTAGCTTTTTATGCATTGCACATCCACATGTCAGTACACAGGATTTGAGGGGCACTTAATGACTTGCCACAGTTAGGGTCACAGGCAGGCCTCCTGTCAGAGAGTGGGGCCACCCAAGCAGGTGACAAGAGGCTCCAGTTAACATTCATGTGACCACAGTGGTCCCCATAAGTTAGTGCTAAGTGCTGTTCATCTTTGTGGAGCCCTTGACTTTGCAGTGGAATAGTCAGCACTCTGGACTGCAAGTACTCTGGGTCAGAGACCAATTAAGAGACAGGGACAGAATAGCAGTGAGGGACCCTACTGAGGATGCTCTCTGTAGGGGGTGGGTGATAGAGGGCTGACATCCAGGCTTGCATTTTCAAAAACAAGCTTCATGGCTGACTTGGTTTTATCATGTTAATTTTTTTAATGCCCTCTGGGAAAAGAGAAACAGACAATAAGATCAGTTTAGGAGTTCATTTTTTTTTTTTTTTTTCTGATGCTGAATGATTAAAACAGCCCCAGAGGAAAACAAATGGTCTGATGATGAAAACTCAAGAATCACACTGTGGAAGATTCAAGTTGAGTTGTAGTTAGGAACTTGTTCATAATTGCTCGGATAGTTGTGTTGGCTAATAGCTGATAATAGTGTCAGGAAAGACTTCCATTTCTCAATTCCCATTTTTTTTTCTCATGAAATTTTATATTTCACTGCTTCAAATCCTAAGTGTAGTGGAATGTCTGGGTGTGGTTGTTTATCAAGTGCAGGTTTCGGGAGTACTCAGCAAGTTGACAGAAAGAGGAGACGTCTTCCTTAGACTGCACTCTTCATGCATGAAGGAGGTGGCTGCCCATCTCATCCATAGTGCGCTCTTACGTTTTTCCTCAGCTCTCCTGACCTTCCTCGTTGCTTGCCACCTGTCTTACTCTTCAGTCACATTGTCAGATGGAGCCGTGGTTGGATTCTGTTCATGTTTTTAATGGAGATCATTTGATTTAAACACAGTGATAAATCCAAGGAATACTTAGAACTTTTTGAAAGCTCAGGTTATTTGCTCATATTTGAAAAGGATGGATTTTTATTACTTTTTATTGAAAGAATATTTTCTTACAAGATATGCTGATCATGCTTTCTCTTCCCACATCCTCCATTGTTCTTCCCTACCCACCCAACTCCAAACCCTTTCTCTCTTTAGGAGACAAACAGGCAAAAAACAAAACAAAACAAACAAAAAGACAAAGAAATACACACATAAAACTCCACAGAAATAAAAAAATTAGGAAACCATAATATATAAGCAAATGACAAGACAAAAGTGTCTAAACAAAGCAATAAGAGATAGAAAGTCTAAAAAAGTACCATTGAGTTTGTTTGGGGTTGGCCATCTACTACTGCTGGACATGGGGCCTGCCCTTAAGTGTGGTTAATGTACCCAGTGAGACTCCATCAGAGAATACTATACTACATTTTCTTCTACAAATAGGTGTCATTTGCAAATAGCTTCTTGGCTAGGGATAGGATCACATGCCTACTTCCCTCTCTTAGCACTGGGACTCTGTTTGACTTGAACCTGTGCAGGCCCTGTGCATGCTGCCACAGTGTCTGTGAGTTCAGTTCATAAGTGCATTAGTCCTGTTTTGTCTGGAAGACACTGTTTCCTTGATGCCCTTCATCCCCTCTGGCTCTTAAAATGTTAACAGCTCCTTTTCTAGTTGTTCCTGACTCTTGAGGAGGGCGGTTTGATGCAGACATTCCACTTAGACTGAGTGTCTCAAAATCTTCCACTTTGCACATTGTCCAGTTGTGGGTCTCTGGTTATTGATTGGCTCACCTTTCTTCAGTAAGGACACATATAGTGGTGTAAGGCACGTTCATCTGCTCTTCTCAGATAAATTGCCTGCCAATGAAAGTCTACTCATTGATTAGTATAAATTAGAAAATTCAACATGCTACTCTTTTCCCCTCTGAAGGGAGAAAAGATATAAGAATATCCCCTTCTGAAAGATGTTTTAGAACACAACACTCCAGGGGCCACATGACTCCCTTTGAAGGGTCCTTGGATATGAGTGGTTTCTGACTGTCACCACAGCCTTACCAAAGCATGGAGGCGGGAAGGGAGTGATGGAGGTGTCTCTTCACTCCTGTTTGCTTTGTTCACAAAGAAGACATACTTCAGTGCAAATAGCTAGTGAAAGAAGAAACATTTACTTGGAACCTCATGGTTATCTGGGGTAACTTCAGTAAGTGAATGACCACTGACTGTAAGTCAGGTAGGTTTATTTTCCTCTGGGTTGGAGATCACTACAGATCCCCTCTTCCTTGTCACAACACAAAGACAACACACTTTGTTTAGTCAAGATTTCTGTTCTTTGAGGCACATGGAGTGTGTCTTTCCCTTAGGAGGGGGTTCAGCAGGTGCCTTACATGATGGGGGCTCTGGGTGAAGAGGCTTAGGGGAGATTGTTCTGCTGAGGGAGTTGGGAGGCCATCAGGTGACCGAAGCGGTGAACCCTGAGAGGTCGGCTGTCCCCTTCCTGGACCACTCTTCTAGTTCTACCTGTCTTCTTTTCCACAGAGCATATTTCATTCCACTTTTTCCTGGCCTTTTGATTTAGCGATCACTTTTTTTGCTTCTTAGTGAATTAATCATAAGGATCATGTTAAAGCATTTCTGGAACTAGCTGAAAACTTGATTAGCTTTGAGAAGCTCTCACCACCTGTGTGCACTCAGCTGTCAGGCCCTTCCTTCCCTAAGTCACAGTCCACTGAAAACAAACTGGCTTTTATCAATAGAATTTTGCTGTGTCTGAAAGAGTCAAATAAAGAAGCATCTTTTCTTCCTTTACCCAAAGGTAGAATGAGATTTATAAACCCCATTAATTAGCTAGAAAAGCATTATCTCCTAAAAGAAAACTGCAGCATCCAAGGTGATTTAATCACCACGTCCAATTAGAAAAGAAAGTAAATGGCTATTTCTTAAAGTATGGCCAGGAAAAGTAAACACACTTAATGTGCTGTTGCCATCCTTGAAGTTGAAGGTGGTTAATAACCCAAAGAAGCAGCTTCTTTAAGTCCACCATGGAAAAGAGGTCTGAAAGCTATCATTTGACAGGTTTCTGTCTCTTTCCTTTGCTGCAATGTAGGTTGTTGATGAGACCAGCTGTTTGGTTATTTGGTGGTGGTTCTTTCAAAGAGTAGAGATAGCTAAAATAAAGTGTATATATTATATGTAGACACTCATACACACATGTGTGCAGTTCATTGTTCCATAGGGTCTAAACATTTAGAAACTGTTCTAGATAAAAATTATGTAAATTTTTAATAAAATCATTATATATTTGTTTGTGTTTCTAGGTTCAAGAATTGACCAAGGAATGGACAAACAAGTGGAATGAAACCCAAAATATTTTGAAAGTAAGGGCTGTGAAAAGTGTTTTAATCTTACTCTACTGGCTTAAGTAGGTAACTTTCTCTCTTTTCTGAAATATGGCTGTTATATGCTGTGCTTAAGGTAAGATCAATGAAGCTGATTGGGAACTGTGCTTATAAGCCTGTGGTTAGTTTCTCAGGTCATGGGTGATGGCTATTGGATATCACAGCTGAGAATTGTAATATGCACAGGTTACCATGATATTTCACATATATGCTTTTACTTGTTCTCCATTTTGTGCTAAGTACATTTAAAATCCTGTTATTCAAGGGCATACACTTTGTGTTTCTAATTTTGTTAAGGTCAACATAAAAGGAATACATTAAGAACAAAAATGGTTTTCATGACAACATTATAGAATACATTTACATAGCTTGGTTAGATTACAGGCATTTCTGAACTGCTGATTTCCCATCCAATTCTCCATGTCTTTGTGGCTAGATGATGGTTATATGTATTTCTGCCAGCACTCACTATGAAGGGGCATCGATAATTCTGGTCTCCATTTTTTATGCTCTGTGCTGCAAACTTGTTTTTATTTTGGCTCACTTGATGGGTAAAAGACCCACACTACACTGGGTTTGGAGTTGAGTTTGAGCTTTGTGCTTTGATGGCACCCAGTTGCTTCTGAGGTCTAGTGAAGTGCCCTAGGGAAAAGGAAGCTCCATGTAATGTTGGCTGGCCAAGCTCAACAGGACTCAGCTAAATGTGTCAGCAGTGCATGAAATGAAGTTGGATCTCCTGTATGTGAGATGGCATGTGGTTAATGGTTTGTGGGGGCAGACTTGAAGGCCTGAATTAGCCACTGAGTCCTCATCTGACAACAGTGGCACGAGCCAGGCTCAGCAATATACTGTGTTCACTTCTATTTGTGTCAGGGAGTTTGCCTGCCCCACTCCGGGGTTATGAAGACACCTTGAGCTAGAGACGGTGCTCAGCTTTGATGCACAGGGGTTGATGGTCCTGGGGACTTTTTTTCAGGAGCCCAAATGTCAGTGTTAGGTGAGGGCTTTGGCTTCCAGATCTCCTTCCATCTCCTTCTGTCCCAAGGGGAAAGGCATGCTGTTTTAGGAACCATGCTCCTGCAGTGTTTCCTTTGTTCAGAATTTATTTATTCACTTAATTATTTTAGTAGTGCCCTGGATTCAACCCAGAGTTTTAGACATGCTAGGCAAATGTCCTACCATTGAGCTACATTGCAGCCTGCCTTTGTCAAGAGACAATGGTGCATGAAACTGAGCAGAGGTTTTATTCACATCTCAGAATAGTCATGTTAGAATAAACACTGTCAGGAGACGCATGTATTTGTTCCTGAAGTTTAGACCCCTCTGAGTGGTACGGTAGTGATCTCTAAAGGCCAGGCCTTTTGACCTTCCATGATATGGTGTGGTGTAACTTTCCTCCGGAAGCTTGCAAAGATGCAGAGTTAAAGTGTGCCATGTTTAAAGAACAAGAGAAGTCATGTCTAGTAAACACTTTGAAAGTTATTAGCAGAAGTGGTACCTGGTAGGACCGGAGGCACAACAGCAAAAAGTTGTAAGACTTAAACATCATTTCCTGCTTCTGCTGCTGTGGTATCTCCCCCCTGTACTTTCAGTGTGTGTGTGTGTGTGTGTGTGTGTGTGTGTGTGTGTGTGTGTGTGTGTGTGTGTGATGTGTATTGGCACTGGGGGAATGCACTAGGGCCTTGTATGATGAGCAAGGTTACCTCAGAGTAACACCCCTACACTGTAACTAGTTTTTGACCTTTCTGCAAAATCACAATAGTAAAATGTCCAAAATTTTTCATAACAGCCCCCCAAAGTGATTCTGGGCTTTGAAGCCAAATCCTCCTCTGATTGTCGTCCCACTTTGCATTCATCTAGTTATCTTTATTTTTCATGACTTTTCAGATGAGAATGTGTTATTAAAGGTTATGAGAAAGGCAGGGGCAGTTTCCTGTCCTCCCCTTCTTGTTTGTACCTTAGGTCTGTGCTCATCCTCTGGCCTCACTGGGTGCCTTAAGGGCTCTCTCGATCTCCTTTTGCCTTCAGGCTGGGGTGGAGAGCACTACTCAAATGCTTATTTTGAAAATCTTCCACGGGAGTTGGTTGCTATTCCTCAGATATGTACATGTATTTATGTAGTTTCTATGATCCTCTCCTGCATTTCTACAGTGTGTCCCATAAGTTGATCAGTCTGCATGAAGCTACCCCTGCATACAGTGCTGCATGCTTGCCTTCCTGTTCCAGATGGGAGACTCCAGGGTAATTTATCAATAGACCTCATGGGGAGCGGGTTCAGGAATGCGGGGCTCTGCCCTCTCATATAGACATTAGCATTGAAGTCAATGTTGGGTGAAGGTTCCTTGAATGTTGAACTTCCCTGCGTCTCAGCACAGTCTGAGCTCTTGAATGCTCAGAAGCAAGGAACAGCTTTGTTCCCTTCTTTCTGTATCCAGCCTGTGACTTTCCTTGCTTGGGAATAGTGAAATCTGAGGTCTTCGGTAACACTGACTCTAGAAATAGCCCTCCTCTCTGCCCTCATCTTGTGGTAGTGTTGGGTTCCTGTTGCCTGTGGGTGACTTCACCATCCCTGGTGGCTTTCCACCACTCTCTTACAACCAACAGTAACCAGTCACGACTGAGTGACCAGTGCCTGTATCCAAGTCCCTTGGGTTTAAGCAGCGAAGTGGCTTCTGTTCTGTGGTCGGCATTGACTGGTGCCCAAGTGTGTTTGTACCTGGTCTCTGGTGCACTGCAGCTTCTCAGGGCAGTGACCCCTCCTTTTCTTTTGAAGCCTGTCTTTCTGGTCCCTTTTAGAATGCTGTCAGCATGTGGTTGCATGTTGGCCGAATTTATCTGCACCTGGGCTGCCTCTTCTGATGAGTCCAGCTTCTGCAAGCCTAACCATCAGGAGCTTTCGAGTGCTTGCTTTGGTTCTCCTTTTGCACAGCCACAATACAGTGTCCATTGCATGGTGTTTGGAGTCATACCAGAACCCTTGGGTGCACCTTCTGGTCTGGTACACTGCAAATCCCAGGTGTTTTTGGCCTGATGAATTTTTCAAGCTTTCATCTGAAAGTGGAATTAGAGAATTCTTTCTTCATCCCCACAGCCCACCTCCGTCTCTGCTGCTTTTTGGTTTATCGGTTTTGCACATGCTTGTTTCTCTTCGCAGAGTTTTATAGCCAGCTAAAGAAAAAAATGCCCAAGGTATGTTCTCTGACTTCCAAGGAGCTCCTTGAGCTCTGTGCTTCAAAATAATCGCAGACAGTTGGACTGCAGTGCAAAGCTGGCAGCTGTATGACAGATGGTATCATGGCCTGTGTGTGTGTCTGGAGCCACGCTGCAGCCAGGGACCTAGAGCCAGGTGGTGCTCCTGGTTGAGTCCTTCCAGCTTTAGTTATTCTTGCTTTTCTACAGACTGCACATTTCTCTTGCTGTAGACATAGTCTTTGATCACTCCAGTGTCTGGCTGGATTTTGTGTTTCCAACTGCCCCACACAGGGCTTCCAGCTGTGTCAGAGAATAAGCAGGCTGCTCTTACACAGACCCCCACACCAGCAGTTTCTATGATAAGTGTACTAATTGCGTGAAAGTAACTTGAAGATTTTTTTCAGGTTTTTATTGTGTGTACCTTATACCCAGTTGGTGTTTGCTCTGCTGAATATAGTGGCCAGGGCATATCCGAACCCACATGATGATGAGATAAGAATGCAAATAGTTTAATTTTGAATTGTTCTGGTGGCTTGTTAGTCCTTCTCTGGGGACTACAGAAGTTTTGGGCCAGGAGTTCATGGCTAGGATGGAGAGAGAACACATAGATGGAGGGGTCCTTTACTCTTTCAGAACTTCTTAAGTAACAGGGAATATAATAAAATGTGAACAGGATCTTTTCCTGGATGAAGATTTTCTGAGTTTAAATTCCGAAGAGAAGCATGCTACTTCTGTTTTATGACAGAGTGAATCAGCTGAGCTGTTTGTCTCTGCAAGATTACAGCAATCTGTAAAGAGTTTTTCCCTTGCTCTCTGCAGTTTCCTTGCATGAACTGGAGAGGGTGTGGATTTGGAGCAGACTAATAACGGGGCCATTGCTCAGCAGGCCTGCGATGTAGTAGGTTTGTGAAATGAGTTCCCTGCAGTTCTTTGGGTCTCCCTGACCAGGGCACTGGATCCTCTGCCTTTTGGAGAACCTACACCAAGTATGGAGAAGATACTTTCCCCCCTGTTTTTGGTGGTATCTTCCATATTTTTGGTATAAGAATTAAACCATTAAAGCAGAGGGCAGATCTGGGATAAGATTTTATTTATGGTCATCAACTTACCCCAGTTCTTGAGACATTACTTGCAGCCATAGAGTATAGTCTTCCTTATCAAGAGTTGTTTTTAGCCATTCCATGATTCAAAACTCTAGCCTGAGATATGAAAACATCTGGGATTTGTAATGTGCTAGCCAGAAAGTAGACCCAGGGGTTCTAAGCACAGTATTGTGGCTGTGCAAAGGCAGACCAAGAAAAGCACTCTAAAGTCCCCGATGGCCAGGTTCGTATCAGTTATTGTTTATTTCTGCAGTTTGAAAAATATGAGTGCGATTGTACATTTCATAATGGAGGAAACACATTCTGAGAGGTATATTATCAGATATTTTCATCTAGTGTTAGCATCATAGCACAAACTAAGATGTCTACAGCATTACTAGGTGATATTCTAATGGAGCCACCATGTGACCCTTGATTGCAGCACTGCTGTACAGGACATGACTATATTGATCATTTCACTACATGGACTGTACTGTGATTGTCCACATTTATCCAGGATTGGCCATGGTGGGCATTTCAACCATCGTGGTTCTTCCTCCTGTGATTTTCACTGGAAAAACATAGTCAGCCCAACTCAGTACCTGTTTATTGGTGCTGGTCATGTTCAGGTCACTCCTTTTGAATCTTGATACATTTTTTTTTGTGTGTGAGTTGAATTTTTGTACCTAAAAAAACTGTTTTCAA